TCGGTGTATGTTGGTCTTGAAACGGTTCAGGTTGTAACCTGCAGGGAAAACCGTCGCAGGGAGTTTATTCCACAGCGATGCTGTTCTCCAGAGATATGAATTCTGATATAATGAGGTTCTTGGTGCCTCTAGTTTGACAGTAGATTCATGGTTACCGTCTGTTTGACGGGTTCGCCTGGTAGGCGCTACTCTCGGTGGAATCATACGTGCCAACTCTTCAGAGCATTTTCCGTGATAGTACCTGTAGAAGAGAGATAAATCGCCCACAGATCTGCGATGTTCGAGACCATCCAAGTTACGAGTAAGTGCGGGGTCATTGATCAGCTTGATAGCTCGTTTTTGCACGGTATTCAAAAGCATTAAGGTATGTTTGGGTGCTGCACTCCATATATGTGAGCAGTACTCCATAGTTGGTCGAATCTGGGCTTTGTAGAGTGTCAGCAATTGGCTTGGTGTGTACAGATGTCTTGTACGAAATAGCACCCCCAGCTTTTGGGAGGCCCTTTTAGCAATATCTGCCACGTGACTGTGCCAAGACATGTTGGTCTCTGCAGTAACCCCCAAGATGTTCAACTGACTCTGTAATGTGACAGCACTTCCAGATAGCATGATGTTTGGCTCACCGGTGCTGGTCTTTTTTGAAAACAGAGCTGCTTGGGTTTTCTGCGCGTTGAACTGTACAAGGTTTTTGTTACCCCAGTCCTCTATTATCTCCAGGTCGTTATTTATCTGCGATATTTGAGTTAGTCTAAGATGGTGGAATTCACGTGCGGAAAGACCTGTGGGTGGTATGAGTGAGGAGACTACATTGCAATCGTCTGCAAAGCAATAAAGTGGATTTACTGTTTTATCTATGAGGTCATTTATGTAAATCAGGAAAAGAGTTGGCGAAAGGATTGCTCCCTGTGGCACACCAGCATTTATTTGGTAAGAGTTGGAGTTCTGGCCATCCAGTGCAACATAAATGGATCTGTCCTTTAGGTAACTTTCAAACCAAGTGCAAAGTTTCGGCGATAATCCCATTGCTTTGAGCTTGTTGAGCAGATTTTCATGCCAAACTTTGTCGAATGCCTTAGATATATCTAAGGCAATTGTTCTTGTTTCACCCCGCAACTCAATCGCTTTTTGCCATAAGTGAGTGACGTATGTAAGTAAATCGCCAGTTGACCTATATTTTCGAAATCCGTATTGCTTATCGTTGATAATTTTGCACTTTTCCAAGTACTTGGTTAGGTGATTGTTCACAACTCTTTCCATTACTTTTGATATCACCGGAAGTAGAGCAATTGGTCTATAGTTTAACGGATCTGTCTTTTTTCCTTTCTTTGGAATGGGTTGTACCGCGGCAGACTTCCATGATGATGGATATACTCCTTGCCTGTAAGACAAATTGAATAATTTTGCGAAAGTTGGGGTGAGTTCGTTGGCGCAATTTTTGAGTACTATTGCGGGAATGCCATCCGGACCCATTGCTTTGTTTGTATCCAGCTTTTTTAGGGATTTTCGTATTTCTCTGTGACAAAAGGGTACCTCTGGCATACTATGGGAAACCCTTTCAGTGAACGGTGGAGTTTTTCCGTTTGGCACTGTTAGGTTGGAGTTGGAGGAAAACATTTGGGCAAGCATATTGGCTTTTTCCTCTGATGTTGTGGCTAAGTGATTATTTTTATCTGTAAGTGGTGGTATGGATGACTTGGTGAAGTTAGATCCAACAGCTTTTGCAAGAGACCAAAAAGACCTAGAACTACTTGGACAATTCAGCAACCTGTTTTTTATTCTTTGATTGTATGTTTCTTTAGCGGAGTCAATAGTAATTTTGCAACTATTTCTGGCTTCTATAAATTCTGTGTGGTTTTGAGCGGTTTGTTGTCGTTTCCAAAGGTTATATGCTCTGTGTTTTTTCTGTACAGCCGTTTGACACTGGCTGTTGAACCAAGGTTTTGCATTAGCTCTACGTTTAGTTGTATGTGGGATATATGCGTCCATTCCAGATAAGATTACTTGTGTTATTTCATTACAGCAAATAGTGGGATCAGCTGTTTCAAAGCAAACCTCTTGCCATGGAAAATCCAGGTAATACTGTTTTAGGTCATTCCATTTTGCCGATTTATAGTGCCACATTTTACGAGGAAGTGGTTGTAGGCTTGGTGGGATGAGCATTTCGCACTTTGTTATTATAAGTTTATGATCGGACGAACCAAGTGGAGCATCTACTTGAATTGTGTACGAGTCAGGATTGGTGGTTAGGAACAAGTCTAAAAGCGCTGCAAATTCGCCCCTTTCTGAGATACGGGTAGGTTCATCGACAAGCTGCGTTAGACCACAAGTTATGGCAAAAGCTTCTGCTTCTCTGCCTTCGTTATCTGTTTTATTGTGGTGTTTCAGCCAGGGTATATTGTGGACGTTGAAATCGCCTAAAAAGACAATTTCCGCCTGTGGACAATTCTGAGTTGTTTTTGATCTTCTCTTTATATCTTTGCATGAAGGACCCCTAGGATCACCCGACGCCCGGCCTTACGAGTGATGTACACCATTTTTCCTGCAGAAACCTATTTACATCAATTTTATCTTATTTTATTTCTTTTCATTTTCAACACACGTGCTGAAAGTACTTTCAATCCACGTATTGAAAGTAAATTGTTATGTCAATCACAAATATGTCAACAGTATTTCCCACATGTGTGCTGAAAGTACCTTTAGCACGCGTATTGAGACTGAGTACTTTCAACACGCGTGTGATATTAAGCGCTTTCCAAAGAACCAGCTAGTGCGAATTTTGTCATTTTCGTATGTGGTCGTAGGAGAATATATGCCTTATCTAAACGAAAAAAATATTTAGAATTTCTTAAACTATTCAGGATCTCTTCGATACGTCAAATCGGATAATTTGCTGAAACCAAGCATTTATTAGCTCCTACTTTATAGTCAACACACAAACGTATCCCTTGATCTGGTTTAGGAATTACAACTAATGTTGAACCCAAATCGCTGACATATACCTTGGATATTATACCATCAGCTTCTAAGGTATCTTGTTTTCTGTCAACACGATCTTGAAGAGCATACGGTACTTTTCGTTCTCTATGGAATGATGGTTTAGCATCAGGTCGAAGATTTAATGATACTGTATAATTTGGAACTAAACCAATCCTCTCTTCAAATATTCCTGAAAACTCTTGTGCTATTTCCTCTACACTTAGTATTCTATCGGTATCAAGCTGGTTTGTATTTGTTATGCTTCTACTATCGATTTGTTGCAAGTTAATTCCAAAATGTCGGATCCAAATACGTTTTAAAAGTGGTTTAAAATTATCTAGTACCTACTATGTAGAGCTCTTCAGTCGATGATTTATTTTGATATTCAACGGAAACATAGGTACGCTTTGCCATTAAGATGGAACACATTTTTCGTATATGATCAGAAGCCAATGCTGGATTTTTGCAAATTTATTTTTAAATCAATTGCTTTGAAACTATAAACTGGTAGAAGTGTAAACCTAGCACCAGAGTCGACTTCAAACTTTTGGGACTTTCCTTGGAATAGTACAATGACAAAAAATTTGGTTGCTTCATGTAAATTTAGGTTTTCGAAAATATCTACAATAGTATTGGAAATCCTCAGAATGTCTTTTAAATTAAATCCCCAAAGATCTTTTAACATCTTCTGGAATTTCTAGAATACCAGCTAGAATATTTTCATGAGAATCTCTTAAGTATCAAAAATTCTACAAACTCCTAGCAGTACAGGCTGGTCCAATTTAGACACCTTTGATAAGAAACATCATGTTAACTAAGCGCTAATTTTGAGTATTAGTTTATTCAAAAACCATCAAAACATTGGAAAATCAAGTATAACTATGGTGATTATGCGTAACAATAATGTGTGCGCACGCAAATGAGTGAGCAAAGTGATTACTTTGCGCACGCAAGTAGAAAAAGAACATTTAAAATTACTGGTGAATTCCTTACAACATACCTTTCGAAACAAATATTAATAAAGATATGACACTCTCGAACTTGGTAGGTATTTACTATTCGGTCCTGTTAATAGAATATCTGCCAATGTAGATAAGTTCTATGAGGGTCTTGACTTCTTCAGTTTATCGTTTGACTCTCACCGCAACATAAAGAACACCATTAAAAAGAAACTTGAATTCTATCCAGGAACATCGTATTTATTTTCTATATAACATCATTAGTTTTCAAATTTTATAATTATTCAATTCAATCTTTTCGAATACCAAAGCAACCAATAAACATTGTAAAAATTCAAAAACCGGCTGATTCCGTTCCTGTTGTTATCCAATTCCATTACAACTTTGAAAAAATTAGTGTAGCGGCTTCTCTTCGGCTGCGCATTCGGTGTAAGATGTACCACAGCCGCTTCATAGGAATGGTGTTTCCGAAATCAACTGTCGACCATCACTTTCTACCGGTACCAGCAAGTGGTACTTTTTTACCAGTCGAGGACTATGCTGGCGTAGTGGTCAGTCGATTACACAAGAATGAATTTGCGAAATAATGGAACCTGAAACTGTGAATTCCTGGAAAATATCAAGTTGTAGCGGGTATCCATACAACATTTTCTACTACACATCGTTTGAATGATTTGATTTAACATATGGTTTTAAACCTGTACTGTGACTTTGGAATTGACAACCTTAACTTGACGATTGAGTCTTGCAAATTTGACATTTTGTAATAATATCAGTCTTGGTCAAAAGGTTGAATTCAGATATTCAAATATATTCAAAACCGAACAACAGTGGAGCCTTGAATTTCTTAAAAATCAGGTTGAAAATTCCTTCTTTTTTACGCACACACTGTCTCCTGTTTAATGTAATGTCCAAGAAAATTAGAGCTTTTATTATAGAGAACCTCATATTATGACCTACTCTACTGACCCACAGCTCTATCGTTACCGATGGCGATAACGTTAAAGACGCAAAACTACCCCATACTCTACCGCATTGCTTCTGTCTCTCTTGCCTGGTGGAGATCAATACGGACTCCCCCATTTTGCCATTTCCTCAAAAATGCCCTTCCGAACAGTTCAAGGAAAATTTGTTGGTAAAATAAATTATTTAAGTGCAAAAATTTCGCACCAACTGTAATGGTTGTTGTTAAAAGTCTAGCAAGATGTATAGAGAATTGTTTGCTGTATTAGGTGAGTTTGTATTATTTTTTTGGAGTTGTTTGTTTAATGCTTTATTTTAGTAAATTTGTTAATGATATAAAAATAGGGGTTGGAGCTAGGAGATTGTTTGAAGCGAATATTAAAAATTTTGTTTCAATATTTTGTAGCCTAATTGGAAAAGGAAATGCAGATATAGCCAGACAGCATGACGTCAAACCTGACATACCCTTTATTTGTGACTTTCTCCCTTGAACTTCATCCATATTATATAGAAGTAGGGCGAAAATAAGGCCTTTTTACTGTATTCCTGAAAGAGAAAGTGTTGGTACTTAGCTATGTAATCTTGGACCAAAATTCCACTCTTCTCATAAAATCATAGTGAAATTATTTTTCTTGGAACCTTGAAAGTATTTCAAATGTTACTTTCTTTAAAGTTGCTTTTCTCAGTAGCCATTGATAGTAGGTACTTTATACGCTGTTGCAGGACGTTTCTAAAACTAAAAGCAGCAAACGTTTTTTTAATGTCCATGTCAGGGTGTTTTTAAAAAAGGGAATAAAAAGGATACTTTTTTTAACGTTTCTGTCTTGTCTGGGTAATGCAATTTAACAATCATTCTAGCTCCAATCTGTAAATTAATGTATAATATACAAAAAAAATATCTACATACAATAGATTGAAATTATCAGCAACATAACTACCCAAATCCAGACTCAAAAATCCATTTAATTTTATTACAGTATATTTTGTACATTTTGGAAAAACTCAATGGGAATGTGCGCGTGAGTAAAAACAAATTTTTGAACAAATTTTAATTCTTGAAAGCAACCCATACACAATGTTTTATTAATTTTTATTTGTTTTTGATGCAATTTTTATGCTAGAAATTCAACAAACTTTTTCTAGTAGTGGTTACCCCTAGAGTTTAGAATCACATTTATATACTTCATTTAAAATGGTAAATGGGGCGTTTTACGTATAGGTAATTACTTATAGACAGTTCGAACGCTTTTGTTTCCTTAGGGCGCCCCCTTTTAACATTTCATACAGAGTTTTCGACAAAATTATTTCAACTGGAATTTACTATTTAGAATAATCAACTTAGATTATATGTACTTACTTAGAATTTATAGGAGAAAGAAAAAACAAAACTTTTTTAAAAGAGAGTCATTGTATATCAGTGTCTCTTTTACCTATGTAAAAAGAATTAATAAGAATACCTCGTTAATATTTTTTGTTAATTATCAGTTACAAACTTGAAAAGATTTCTCCTGTTGTTATTTCCTCGAACAAGTTTAAAATGTCGTAGGGGAATTAACACGTTTAAATGGGTGTTTGTTAATTTCATGCCTTCAAAAAAAAGAAGCCTTAAAAAATATGTTTCCAAATATCCAATATACCTACCAATATTTGGGTTCTTTGAAAATACTCCTGGAGATTGTTTTGAACCAATCCTTTGTCTTTCCTGAAAGTTTTGGAAAACCAATAGGACCTGCTTGCGGACTTTTTACCCCCTTTTTTTTCTTCTTATTTTCAGATAATGCTTTATTAGGTATCATTCGACATTGAAAGCCTGAAATATATTATTATGTAATTAAAAAAGTTTTGTGTACACACCTTATAGAATTAGATGCTTCTCGAATCACATCTTTTATATATCTATTTTATTTTTAGTTCGCTTCATACAGGGTGATTTTACATATATCAAATATAACAAAAAATATTACCTTGGTATTTTTATTGCCTTTATGTACAAATTTGCCCCTATATAGGATTATACAGGGTGTTTTTTTTAGTACCTTTATGATGTAAAAACACCCTGTATATGATACCTTTCATTTCAATACCATGGTGAATCAAAAAATTCTTTGGTTGTTTTTGATTCATCATTAAAATACGGTTCGCGTATTTTTCACATTAATTTTATTTTTTGCTTTGTTTTTCAGTGATAATATTGCTAGCTATAACTACCGTTTGTAAAGCGGAATGTCAGAGTAAGTTTGCTGTTTTTTGCATCCCTCCACCCTCACATTTTTCACCATTGTGTTTTTTATTTTTCCTGTAATTTCTGTCGTGAGTGTGAATATATGCCTGTATACTTTTCGTAGCACCCAATTATTATACATTGAATATTTGCTTAGCCAAAGATCACTTGTGTCTTATTATACTTAGAAATTGTAGCCTGAAATTTTAATTTTATGGATGTTTTCTCTTAACACAAAGAAGTTCATCTAACAATTTTCAAGTTCCGTACATACTTAATATGTATACAAACTGTTCTGGTTTGAATTTTAAACTAATTCGCATAAACTCTAAATAAAAGACTAAAGTGATCTGATCTGCTAACATCCAAATTCTCGTGCCAAAAATAAAAGACATAATCAAATCTCGTTAATTGTCAACAGGAATATATTTGCTTAAAGTAAGTTTGCATGTTTCCAGTAACACCCAATATTGTCATGATTATTGGCAACATTGGCCTAATAAAATGTATATGTTGTGACTTGTGCAAAAAAAACAGTATAAACAAAGAAAATTGATTTCAAAACTAATTTCTAGCTCGGCAAATTTACTGCTACGAGTGCGATAGTTGGTCCGATATGCGTTGCAAAGACCCGTTTAACTATACGGCATTGCCGAAGGACCAACCGCCCTTGATGACCTGCAACGGATGCTGTGTTAAAATGGTTAGAAATGCGAAATCACGTAAGTAATTTACTCAATTTGACTGAATTTCATTAACCTTTGTGTACATTTTGTTGGTTCCGCAGGTGTTACAGGTTGAGATCATTATTGTAAGATTTTGAAAGAAAATATTAGATGGGTTTCTCCGTTAGTATGATCTTTCGTCTTTTCTTGTAGCGTTTCTTAGATTTTTGTTCAATTCTTGGTGAGCCCCAATCTGTTTTTCGTGTATCATTTTTTAGGAAATACGAATCTAGATCCATCTGTCTTTGGTTCTTTTTCTCTTTCCTCCTTAATTCGATTATTATTAGTTGTAGCTTCTTTTCAACTAAGCTTCTCCTCTCCTCTAGCTAAATATCTGTCAATCAATTTCATTCCTGACTGATTATATACCTTTGGTGTAGCACCATTTCCACGTTCGTTTGGGATTTTTCTTGAAGAAGGTGTTTGGACATGTAGCAGTCAGCAGTCTGCCCAAGTACTCTTTTCTTTCTCTCAGTCTCTTTTCGAAAGTTCTTAGATGTTATTTGTATACTAACCAGTTTTTCCAACTGCATCCCATCCTGGGCCACCATTCTCCTTTCGATCGGTTGAGAATGGACAGGAGGTTTCGAAGGCCGCCGTTAGACTTCTGTTCAGAAATCTCACTAAATGGGCAATGTTGCCAATCAAAAACTTGACTTATACCACATATCTACAATTTTCGAATGAGATGTATAGAAAGATTTACTTGTTTGTCCAACAACCAAAAGAATCACTGATTAAAACAATTCTCTTATTTCTAGCCTACGAAGTGGTAAGAAGAACCTGCACGTCGCAACTCCAAATAAATCTGTTCATGGTCGATCACGTGTGCATGATGGAAAGTAGCGGGACGGGTCACATGTGTTTCTGTGAGGAGGACATGTGCAACAAGGCCGTGCCTCAAACGGGGCTCGTTTCTCACGCTGTAGCCTCGCTAGTGACCGCTGTAGTGCTGCGCCTGTTCTGCTGCATGATTAGTTAGACCCTACTCGGATTTTTTTTTCAGTGAACCCACTTGTAAATATACTTTAACCCAAATAGATGGATTCGGTGGAATTTGGAATCAAACCAACTCACGTTGGAAAAAAGGCTATTCCATGTAGTCTATTTACTTCCAAGATAGGCAGTGCTAACGTAATAAATGCACATTAATTGGTACATACGTTGTCAAGTTGCAGGGGCGTTAAATAGACCAAAAGGCAACCTTCTAAACTGGAACAAACCTCTTCCAGGAATGGTAAAAGCTGTATACTCTTGAGAAAATATACTATGAATTCAGATGAATTTAATAAATCATCATTATTCAGCCTCAACTTTTTCTACTGCTCCGTCCCAAGACATTTCAGTGCTATGTTGGTTATCTCTCCACTCATCTAATGTCAGTCATTTCCCACATAATTCTGCATCATCTGCGTCTCCAGTGTTGTCATTTATATTCAAATACCTATTGGTCATCATTTTTGTTTTTTGATATGTTTGATCCAGTGTTGTAGCTCTGTAGCCTATCTTGAAACTGAATAGACTAGGATTAATATTGGAACGTTATCCACAAAAATCCTCATTCCTAATTCCTCTTTATGTAGCATATCACACAAGTAACGTAAAACAATATTGTTTCATATCACTTCTCTATACATATTTATCGGTGTTCAACTATTGATGAATGTATTTTGCTCAACGCATATTATTAAATGTCACCATTGCGAGATTCGAACATAGTGCTTATAAAATGAACCATAATTTCATGTCAATTAAAAATAAATGCTTTTGAGTTTCAAGCTTTCTCCATCAGTTTTCCATTTCCATTAGACTCATTTTAAGCAGAAAACTAACTAAGTATCTCTCTATTTAAACTTAAGCATTATGAAGAGTCCAATTTTTCGCGAAAAAAAAAAGCTTTAAACTACAATAATGTAATTATAACTCTATGATATAATATATAAGGCCATTACTTGATGAATTAAGGACCTGCAACAGTACCCCCAGTGAATAAAGGTAAAGGTGAATTTTATATTTTTATTTTTCATCTCATATAAGCAATCACTATAATATACTGAGTTTTTTTTATAGCATGGTGTTTGCACGATTTGCACCTAGTTTAAGGATGTTTCTATTTTCCTCTATTTAAAAATTACTTTGTACAAAATTAGGATTAAGTTAGACTTAGTTAATTTTAGTGATTGCACCTGGTATTGCTTCTTTTTAGCTAGAATTTAACTTCTTTCAAGTTTGAAATTAGAAACATTCTAAGGGCACATTATAATAATAGTAAAAATTCTGTAGAGTGACAAACAAAAATCTCGACAGAATCATTAGAGAGTGAGCATGCAGAGCTTATTAGAATCATTGATTTTGAAAAAAAGTTTACTAATTTCGTATTTAGTAACTAGAAATTACTAATAACATATTCAATTTAGGTCCCCTCACAGAAGTAATCGGCCTTTCTTTGTTATTTTTATTGTGTGCATGCCTAAAATTTTGTTAATATTGTCGGCTTTTTTCTTGATATTGTGCTTTTTTTCGTATCTGGAACAAAGCTGATATAACAAAATTTTAGGAGACGATAATTTAAACTTAAGCTAAATTTACTGTTTATAAACATAAAGTCCATCTACTTTATATAGGCAAGAAAATTTGTCATGAGATGATCGCCTCAATATCAAATAGACTGGGCCTTGTAAAATTAATAAATGTTATTAGGATTTAAGGAAGATGTTCTAAATATTTATATAAACTGTTCGGCCAAAATCTATTGCAGTAATTTTTATTTATTGTAATAAATATTATTATGGCGTAGATTTAAAGTTAAAGTGTTGTTATATTGAAAAGTTTGTACAAAGTCTCAATAAACCTAATTTATGCCAAAATTATTGTTCTTTTGGAAATTGTTGTTCAAAAGACAATTCTTTTGATTGGGAAGGGGTTTTTTAGGAAAGTGATTCAGTGCAAGCCTTTTTCATCCCTCTGTGATTTTTTCAATAAATAAACATTTCCTTTTATTTTAGCGACTCAAAAATTAAGTCATGACCCTTGAGAACCTTCAAGGAATCTATGAAGCATTTAAAGCTTAGGAGTCTTTCAATTTTGCAGCGACTTTGGTACAGCAAAATCTTTGGGTATCAGTACTTAGTCTACTTTCTGGAATTGCTAAAAATGAGTCTCAGACTCAGAACCTTTTAGAATCTTTAAAATCTTTAGTTTTGAAACTTTGCTCTTTTAGAGATTCTTAAGTCATGATTAACCTTGTTGGAAACGATTCCAACTTCAATCTCACCTATTAAATCATCTATTCTAAAATATTAAAAAATGAGTCAGTAGAGAAGTTAAAACTTTCAAAGTCTTTATGTTCAATGTTGTCAAAGTCTTGAAGATCTGTGGAATCTTTAGCTTCACATTAAAACCTTCAAATTTTTAGAATTTTTTAAAATCCTTAATTTTGAATCTTTATTCTAAAATCTTAAAAAAGGAGTCTTGAAAGTCTTCAGAATGTTTAAATTCCTCCGAGCTGCTTCTCTAGAGTATTTACTATGCACTTTGAAACTCTTGAAGTTTGTGAGATCTAAATAAATACAGAGTACCTACCTGAATATTCAAAAATTCGCATGTACCTAACTGATCAGAAATTGTTTCAATAATTATTTAGAATATTGTTATGAAAATGCATCGACATTGCGGCGCCGGCGCCGGGATTCCAGCAGGAAATTAAATCAGCCACTTGTTCATCTCAGGCAGGCCGCTTTTCTTCCTGGAATTCTATTTTATTGGATTCGATGTTCTTCTAGCTGTGAAGTGAGTTTCAGTGAAACCCGGAATATGTGACAATATTTTAGTAGATTGATTATAAATTGCATTTGGAATCGTTACAGTGTGAGACCCCAAATTCAGAAACTTGGCAAGATGTTAAATTGGCGAGCGGTGACTTTAGTTTTTGAGTGGAGACACAGTTTAAAGTGGGTCCTATTTGCTGGTGGAGAGAGTAAAACACAGAAATATTGTGGTCAATTAAAATAAAGTTTATTTTATTAAAATAAATAAAGCTTGTTATTAAATAAAAGGCGTCGGTCATAAATAATCTTACCATAAAATTATCCAATCTCTAATAATAAGCATCAATTAAATGTTAAGGAAAATTTATATGATTCCAAGTAAAATTTCAATTTACAGGTTGACTCGACTCACACTCTTGCCTTCACAATTTCTGGCTGAAAAAAAAAACTCTACTTACATTTACCAATAATATATTTACTGCTGGCCACACCTAATTACATGGAAATCTTATTGGTCGAAGGAATTTACTTTAATTATGAACAATTAATAAAAAACTCGAATATTTTCCCGCTGTTATTTCACGTCGGGCTTCTTCTCTCGGTTAATTCGACAACTCTTTCACGCCGTAGTTCTGACTTTCTGGACACATGTCTCTCGATTCTCGATTACTACTTGTTTCTTGATTACTCAACCGACACTACTGGTCTTTCACGCCGTAGTTCTGCCCGTTTACTCGCTCTTTCTCGAACACTACTTTCTCGAACACTGATTTTCTCCTGCCAAAGTTGACTTTTTATATCATTGGTCCCTCCATTGTCTTGAATTTCTTTATTTTTTCTGATCTCGATTTTTCGTGGTTGAATCATCCGATCAATTAGTGTATTTGGTCCCCTTTTAATTAATTATCAAGGGCGTCGCTAAGTGGTTTGTTAAGTGGGTATCATCATATAGGCTCGTGCATGATTTATTGATCCTTTTAGAAATTTTTCGGCTTCTTTGAATGTTAATTGTTGAAAGCACTTAACAAAAAAAGTCCATGAACTTTTGCTTTATTCACATTCCAATGTATTAGTCAATATAGGGTATCGGCTTTCAATAATTTCTGGACATCGATGTTCAGATAATCTTAAATTGAAGTTTCTGGTTGTGCCGTCTAAGTGATGATCTCTCGTGGGATGGTTGTTTGGTAAGTCCTTGTTATTCTTGATTAATTTTCGGTAGTTGGATCCTAGGTCTAGTTGTTTAGAATAATCAGAACCTTTAATTGTTTTCTTGGTGGTTTATTTCCGCGTCACTACAACAGATTGTTCAAGCCGCTCAAGTACTGTTATTTTGCCAAATATTTTGTGCGTGACTCTGCATCTAAAGTCCGTTGTTTTTAATCTGACACTTTCCGTATGAGGAGCGAGAGGATCTTTCATATGGCAAAAACAGGTGTGACGTCAGGTAACAATTGGCGTTTTAATGTAGGCAGCCACCAGCTCACATTTCTTTGGAGTATCAGATTAAAATCGACAGACTATAGTTAGGGTCCAAGGTCCAAGATTTGTAGGCTTCTCCCAAAGGTGGTCAGCTACCCGGGTGATAAAGTGCCCACCTCTTGGGCTTTACCCCCTCAGAAATGTTCGCCTTTTGAAGAAGTGAGCAGAGCATTCAGATTAAATGTTTTGTAGTTTCTGTTGCAGCGGTCGTTGTCTGATTTGCCTGTTGCTTTTAGATGAAACCAACGACTGTTTTAATGTATCTTTTGTTTATGTCAAGAAGTTGTTCAGATGTCTTTGCTGAGATGGATATGAACCTTTTCACCTGTATCAAACCCTGAATGGATCTACAATGAGTTAACGTTTTCCCATCTTTTTATTTCTTCAGAGACGTGGCTTTTTATTAGTCCACAAAAAGGCTCTGGGTCATGAAAAGGTGTCACAGCGCCTTACTTTGCGAGGTCTGTCTCTTCAAAGTCCTCTATATGCCCTTGCCCTAGTACTCACATCAGGTATACTTTTTTCCTCCCAGCCAGTTACTTGAGGATATTGTTACCCATCCAAACTAGCTACGAATAGCACTTGATGGCTCCTAGAGCCGCTTGACTATCGGACAGTATGTAAAGGTGCTCACTCAAAAAGTCCCTTTCAAGGCACAGATGTTTATAGTCATGGCCAGTACTTCAGCTTGAAATATTGCTCAGGAGAGTTCAAAGTTTGTTCCAGTTATTCCCAGACCGACTCATTCCGTTAGCTTCGAACCATCTGTGTACCACAATGATGCGTTGTCCGCTTTGCGTTCTTTCATGATTGGCGTTCTTTCACAACCATACCGTATGGAATTTCGAAGTTCAGTGATGTTTTCATAACATGTGTTAGATTACTTTGACACCCGCCCTTTATGAACAGAAGAATACGTAAGAGGCCATTCGATTGAGATCACCAGGTTTAAATCTTTTTGTCTAGAATAGTATATAGACGTCTATTCCAAATAGATTGATTAGCCTTTGTACTTTACGTAGACTGTTCTGTGCAATAATTTGCTCAGTCTTTGGCCACCATACCAACGAGGCGTAGATGACAAATGGGTGTGTGGTGTGCGGTGCATTAGGGGACCACTAAATGCTTGACTTCATCCCAGAGAGATAATTGTTTGCCGTTCAGAGTGGGGGCTCGCAGATCTAGCTTCTTTCTTTTTTAAAACGAAACTAAAGTCGTTTTGCTATGATTTATGGAAAGTCCTTCTTCCTGGCCCCGGTTTTTTTTGAAATTAAAGGCACTTTGCATTCGGCCTGTTGTCTTCATGCTTGCCTCTGATTATTACCGCCAGATCATATGCGAATCCTAAGACAGTTATTCCGACGTTGCTTTCTGGTAAGGATGCTGTCTACCGCAAGTGTCCACAGAAGAGGCGAAAGGACACAACCTTGTGGGCAGCCTTTAACCGTGGTGACCATAAATATTTCGCCGTTCAAGTCCGCCGATACTGAGCGATGTTTTAGCATGGTTTCTGTTCATCCCATAATGGGAGCTTCTACCCCCCTATCCTCCAGAGCTTTTTTGATAGATCGATGTGAGGTGTTATCAAAGGCACCGTCTATATCTATAAAAGCTGTAAGAACGATTTCCTTTGCCTCAAGTGCTTTTTCTGTGCCTGCCACCAGAAAATGGAGTGCACTTGTGGATTTGTCTGCTTGGTAGGTAAATTGTCTTGGATGAAGCGGTCTGCTATTTAGAGTTTCGCTTCTGGTATATTGGTCTATTGCTTTTCTCCATGGATTTAAGCAGAAAGGATGTTAGTCTAACAGGTGGATAGAATTTTCGATTTCGTTCATCCTCTGGCCGGTGTCCTGCCTTTCGTATGAATGTCACTCCAGCCTTACTCCAGGCTAGTGGAACGTAAGCCAGAGAGGCTAGATTTGAATATTATTTGAAGGTGTACCTCTAGGACTTTGTAATGCTTTTACAACAGGCTGGAAAGATACCGGCCTACCGGCCTTTTCTGGGGATATATACAGATTAAAGTTCTATATCGCCCATTTTATTCTGGTTTGCGTGAATGTTCTCGTTGCCAGCCTCTGGCCTCTTTTGTTGGCTCCCATAGTAAAGGGTCCTTTGCTATGGAAGCCAGGCTAGTTCTGAGAAATTTCTACGATTCATCCCGGAAAGTGAGTCTTCAGTAAGACCTTTTGACTTTCATTGTGGTTTTTACAGTAGGTACTCTCTGTTTGGCTTTTTTCCAGTTGAGTAGTTTTTTGACAGGATTTTTTGATAATGTTGTGCTAGGGCTAATTCATTTTCATTTATCCTTGCGTAGAACTTTCTCCAGGTTCTCCTTTTGGATTTTTTTATTTTTTGAAGGCTATATTGTACTCCGTTATGGCTGTCTTGTAAATTTCCCAGTTTCCAGTAGTTTTAGCTTTATTGTACGACATTCTTTTCAAACCACCTCCATGGTGTTTGGGAATTCTTCTAAGCTCATAAAAGTCCCAATCTGTGAGCTTTGGAATTCTTATTTCTTCTGTTTTACTGGCTGCTGCCTTCAAGTAAAACCTAATCATTTGATGGTCCGACATGGAAAAGATTCGTCAGAGACGTGCCAGTTTGAATATTTTAGTAATTACTTGATATCGATAATCCTGGACAGGAAAAATAAATATTCCTATTCCTCATTCTCATTCTGTATTAAATTTTGATTTGCTCCTGAAAATTAGGTACCATCGTCACCAAAAGTATCTGGGACAAAAATAATTCATATTAATCTCCTGGACTAAGTCTACTGTCATTCATTTCAATGCATTTAATTCATAATTTGACAAATATTTGACACCTAAAATCATATAATAGTACAAGAGATAACATGATGCTGTCCCAGTTACTTTTGGTGACGATGGTACCTATCTATTCTTGAAAATAATCCAATCCAAAAATACCTAACTGGTAATGCAAAAATACTGATATCAAAGCAATAGGTAGAATACCAAGGTAATAGGGGGCAACACCTAGCAACCTAGCAACCTTTTCCCTAAAAAAGGTAATAGGTACCTATTATAAACCTTGCTATACCGAGGTCTATCTATATACCAACATTGGGATCAGGATATGTTATTATTAATAATTATAAATGCCAGAATACTAGATTATTATCGATATCTATGTATAACAAAATGTTTGTGGTATTTGTTCATTTCTAATTGGGTAATCAGTAATCACCATTCTCACAGATTTTTTTCTGCACAAACGAAAACAAATTGAGAAACCATACCGCACGTCATTCTTCTGTTAAGCATTTCGTATTATATTGTTCAATAAATATTTAAAAGATACAGATAAAGGATTTCAATGCAAGGATCAAAGTGCAGTTTGAATGTTTTCTCTAACCTAAAACTACATTTCCTCGAGTTTAAACTTGTGAAATAGGCACTAAATGTACGAGTATATTGTGGAAAACTATTTATCCTAATGCTTAGCACCAAGGTATCACTTAAGGATATCATTCCAGGTGAGGGAACTTTGATTTTTAATTGAAAACTGGAAAAATTATTCCAAATAAATGGAATTTGTTTGACACTGGTGAACTTTGATTCTGAATAGGCGCTTTCTTTTGTCCAGGTCGGGGATTCTAAAATCACGATTCGACATACGATTCGACAACGAGACGATTTTTCCGACGATTCTAGGTTAGAAATCTCATTGGAATTATACCTTTCGACACGACAAGGCCGGTATCGTTGTCGAGTCGTGTGTCGAATCGTGATTTTAGAATCTCGGCCCAGGGCTGCGTTCAGATTGAACGTCGGTTGTCGCCCGAGCGCACTCTGACCGTTCAGATTGCTTTGGGTAAAATTTACCCAGCCGTTCAGATTGTCAGTAGATTTTTACCTGACGACACCCCGACGCACACTTTTGCATCCCATAAAATAGTAAGATAAAATTTGCCCCGCATGCGCGTTTGTGTTATGTTTATGTTCTAACCAATAATAAAGGCAAATATTGTAAATATTATTGTTGGGAGTTATGGCGAGTTTATCCAACAAATAAAATAAAATAGGAAATAAATTAAAATAAGAATTAAGGGTTAAGAGGTATTATTTTATATGTGATAAGTTCTACCAAAAAAATCAAAATAAAATAAAATAAGAGTTGATTATCTTTGAATTTTCTTTTTTCTTATTTTACAAAAATGTTAGAATCACGAACACAGTGAATTTTGAAAAGGCAACAAAATCAAAATCAAAGCATCCCATAAATAGTGATGTTATGAGGAGAGAATGCGTTTTGGCCGTTCAGATTGGGCGAATCGCCAGGCACACTCGGAGTGCACTCTCTATCGGGTACGCTCTGCACTGGACGTCGCCCAGACTCTTCAATCTGAACGCGCCCCAAGTGGACGTAACTTTTTTTTCGTTCTACAACTGTCAACAGCTGTCCAACATCCCTAAAACAATTTTAACCTCATTTTTTGTTTGTTTACCGAAAATTTTATTTATGAAAGATTTTACAAGTTTACCCTTATTTAAAAAATCCATTCACACAGGTTTAAACAATGTCATCTGCAAGTTCAGAAACTACAATTCCCTGGCGACCGACAAAGTGTTGGTGGTTTCGAAATTGTCTCGTTTCGAATTCGAAAAGAAAAAGGCGAAAAATTTAACCGAAAAACAACTAGTAGAGTCACTAAAACAACGAGGCACCGACGTGGAAAAATTGGTGAGGCATCACGACCTGCACAAGAAGTTTGAAGAGAATGTCGTCAATACTTTTAAAAATATGGGTATTTCTGTTAAAGTAGTAAATAGGTTTGTGGAATAATAATAAATAATAGCTAATATTTTATGTAATTGTTGTAGATATCAATACACAGAAGACGACATTGAAGATGCTGATGTAGTAATTCCTATTGGTGGTGATGGTACTTTTCTTTTAGCAGCCAGTATGATATTCGATAACAAAAAGCCCGTAGTAGGATTAAATTCGGATCCAAACAGATCAGAGGGTTACTTGTGTCTGCCTAAAAAATATTCAACTAATATTAGAAATGCAGTTGAAAGACTTAATAGTGTAACTAATAATAATATATAATAACTAGAGATGCAATTTGTTCTGTTTTAGGGTAATTTTAAATGGTTAATGAGGAGCAGAATAAGAACGACACTGCTGGTTTGTGATGAAAAAAAAATTACTGGTAGATATTTGCACGATAACGAGTCAGATCAATTTCGCAGACAAAAAGACTCTATTGTAACAGGAGAAACTACAAAAGTCTTACCATGCCTGGCATTAAACGAGGTAAGAATTTAATAAAGTAATTTTTTTTAAATTTTGTTCTTCTTTCTTTCTTTTGGTTTTTTTATAAGATTATAACTTATTTATGTCTAATATCACTAAGAGTTTCATTAATTTATAAAAAAATGAGCTACCTACCTTGGTAATAACATGATGAAATTTCAAATGCTTAAAGGATCATTTGGGATCTCCCAAACTCCGTATATTTACTAAATTAAGTATTCTAAGATTTGCATCCGAAATCTTTGAAAAAATGATAGCAGAAACATCCAAAAATTCACCCCAAATTCCTTATCTTGATTTTTTCTCAGGAACTATAGGTCCAGATGTAGGGTTTCCATATGTCCGGATTTACCCGGACATGTTTGGGTTTTTAGGGTGTTCGTGGAAGTCCGGCCGGAATTCGGAACAATGTCTGGAAAACTCGGAGATTGTGAAAACACTCATACTCAGTTTACGCACTATTCAAAAGACGTAAAATTTGACTTCACGTACTAGTACGTAAAGTAATTCGCACTTTACACATTAGTGCATAAAGTAATGTATAGAATAGAATAGAATAGAACTGTGCTTTATTGTTCGAAGTACTTAAACTTATTGACAACGCTAATACTAAAATGTAATTTTTTTTTCCCTAAATGCTAAACAGTTTTTATATCACACAAAAACGCCTCAATATAGTTATCAATAATTTGAAATACATTAGAATAGAATAAAATACGAGATAAAATATAAATACATAATAAAAACACATGTAAACAAAATTCCAAAAATGTGCTCCTGTCAAGTTTTCAACATTTTCAATCCACAAAAAACATAAAAAAAAACATAAAAATAAAAACTTAAAAAACAATACTAGGAATCAGGAACACATTATCACAATTGAACCCTATGCTGGAACAATGTTGTAAACGACAATGTGTAAGAACGGTATTTCCATGGAATAACGGTGTATTGTACCCTGGATAATTCGCCAACTTAATAGTGGGATAATATGATTTTTTTTTTGATGAAATGTTCATGCCATTTCAATTGGCCCAGTATGTCCTTTTTGTGCAATAACGTTTTAAGTGCAACCGCCCTAGTTTCGCGCTTGTTTGGTATATTTGGCGTTTGAAACGTTGTTCCAGCATAGGGTTCAATTAATTAATTTAGTCTATCTTCAAAGTATTCCAGCAGCCTGTAGTAGGGTCTAATTACCAAGAGTGCTTTCACTGCATTTCAAAAGTGCTTACAATTGTCCAGTATTTTTATTTCCTCAGGCAAATGGTTGAATATTTTTTTGCCATTATAAATGAGGGAGATTTGAGCTAGAGATGTCTTTGGAATAGGGAGAGGAATATTGTTTATTTGTCTCGTGTTGTATGTATGTCTTTGTTGCTCCAGTCCATTGTAATATTTTTTATACATTAGTGATGATGTTTCCAAAATATATAGACAAATTACTGTAAGGATTTTGTGTGTTTTAAATAATGGCTTACAGTGCTCCCTAGGTCCCACTCCACATATACATCGTAATGCGCGTTTTTGGAGTTTCAACACGCTAGCCATTAGGTCATTTGTGCAGGATCCATAAAATGTAACTCCGTATCTCAAATGGGACTCTATCAAAGAATAGTAGACTGTCATTTTTGAAGAAAGGTTAAGTTCTCTAGCCACAACTCTCAAGGCATATGCACCACTAGCTAATTTCTTCTTTATATATAGTATGTGTTCTTTAAATTTTAGTTGATTGTCAACATATATGCCTAGAAATTTAGTGGAAGCTCTGTTTTCAATAGGACTGTTTCTGCAGAAATCACAAACCAGTCTGAGCGAATTTCATTGGTTGAAAACAGTCAGAAACAGTCAGAAAACTAGTTTCAACCAATGAAATTCACTCTGACTGGTTTGTGATTTCTGCAGAAACAGACCTCATATGATTAGTTTCTAATGTTAGGGTGTCAAAGTTAAACTTAAATGTCATAATTGTTATTTTTTTGAAATTCAAACAGAGTTTATTGCTGTCGCACCCAATGAACTATAGCTAAAACTGGAATGCGCACACATTGCCATATCTGCCAAAAAAATGAAGCCATGAAAGACCGATGCCACAAGGGGGAATGTTGTTTTTTTCTGTTGCTCGCTGACATATGACGTTTTCAAAAGTTTTGTCATATTTCCCTTCACAGGTTTCATCAATTGGAATACGTGTTGGAAGCAATTTTCGCCATTTAACATAATAAGTGCGACAAAAACAGGTATCCCCTCCGCAGCAGCCGCACTAGGCTTCACGTTCGTCCTTATGGGTTAGCATTCCAGTTTTTGGTTATAGTTCATTGGTCGCACCACTGTGGTCGCACCATTTCTTCAATAAGTCCATATCTTCATTGATGACATCCTTAAGCTCGTCTATGTTCTTTCCTCTCCACAACACTGTTTTGTCATCCGCGAACACAGTAAAAGCAACCCTAATAGGGACTCTTGTAATATCTTTAAGATAAGCGTTAAACAGTATAGGACCCAGCACTGACCCCTGTTGATAATTTGGGTGTCTCATTGGCTTTCCCCCACTTTAACTACTTGTTTTCTCTGAGTAGTATAAGATTGTATATACCTTTGTTCGGTATCCGTAAATCCATAGTGTTGAAGCTTACGCAGTAGTATTTCATGATCCACACAGTCGAACGCCTTGGAAAAGTCACAAAATACTACCGCGACAGCCTCGCCACCATTCAGTCCAGTATATACCTCCTCCAAAAAATTAAATATGGCATCCATGACCGGTGTGAAGTTGGTGGCAAAAGATAGTAGCCAAATTTTCCGAAGATACCCGAACGCCCAGTGGCGTCGGGTCATATTTTAATCGACAGAAATTGTATTTTACCTCACTTTGACTTAGTTATATAAAATTCTACTACAGTTACATATCAGCGAAAAACAACCCATATTCTTAGGGAAATTATATCAAGGGGTATAGGAGAGGGATTTTTTTTAATGTTATTTTGTTTTTTGAAATATCTCGAAATCTGCTCGTTTCTACAGATTTATATTTGAACCACAGTTAACTTAGGTACTAATTCAATTTTAAAAAAATATTTCATCCCCAGCAACCCGGCACAAGGGGTGCAACTGGAGGTTGGAAGCATATTTTTTGAATTATTTTGAAATATCTCGAAATCTGCTCGTTTCTACAGATTTATATTTGAACCACAGTTAACTTAGGTACTAATTCAATTTTAAAAAAATATTTCATCCCCAGCAACCCGGGACAAGGGGTGCTACTGAGGGTTGGAAGCATATTTTTTGAAATATCTCAAAATCTGCTCGTTTCTACAGATTTATATTTGAACCACAGTTAACTTAGGTACTTATTCAATTTTAAAAAAATATTTCATCCCCAGCAACCCGGGACAAGGGGTGCAACTGGAGGTTGGAAGCATATTTTTTGAATTATTATGAAATATCTCGAAATCTGCTCGTTTCTACAGATTTATATTTGAACCACAATTAACTTAGGTACTAATTAAATTTTAAAAAAATATTTCATCCCCAGCAACCCGGGACAAGGGGTGCTACTGAGGGTTGGGAGCATATTTTTTGAAATATCTCAAAATCTGCTCGTTTCTACAGATTTATATTTGAACCACAGTTAACTTAGGTACTAATTCAATTTTAAAAAAAATATTTCATCCCCAGCAACCCGGGGCAAGGGGTGCAACTGGAGGTTGGAAGCATATTTTTTGAATTATTTTGAAATATCTCGAAATCTGCTCGTTTCTACAGATTTATATTTGAACCACAGTTAACTTAGGTACTAATTCAATTTTAAAAAAATATTTCATCCCCAGCAACCCGGGACAAGGGGTGCTACTGAGGGTTGGGAGCATATTTTTTGAAATATCTCAAAATCTGCTCGTTTCTACAGATTTATATTTGAACCACAGTTAACTTAGGTACTTATTCAATTTTAAAAAAATATTTCATCCCCAGCAACCTGGGGCAAGGGGTGCAACTGGAGGTTGGAAGCATATTTTTTGAATTATTATGAAATATCTCGAAATCTGCTCGTTTCTACAGATTTATATTTGAACCACAGTTAACTTAGGTACTAATTCAATTTTAAAAAAATATTTCATCCCCAGCAACCCGGGGCAAGGGGTGCAACTGGAGGTTGGAAGCATATTTTTTGAATTATTTTGAAATATCTCGAAATCTGCTCGTTTCTACAGATTTATATTTGAACCACAGTTAACTTAGGTACTAATTCAATTTTTAAAAAAATATTTCATCCCCAGCAACCCGGAACAAGGGGTGCAACTGGAGGTTGGAAGCATATTTTTTGAATTATTTTGAAATATCTCGAAATCTGCTCGTTTCTACAGATTTATATTTGAACCACAGTTAACTTAGGTACTAATTCAATTTTAAAAAAATATTTCATCCCCCAGCAACCCGGGACAAGGGGTGCTACTGAGGGTTGGAAGCATATTTTTTGAAATATCTCAAAATCTGCTCGTTTCTACAGATTTATATTTGAACCACAGTTAACTTAGGTACTAATTCAATTTTAAAAAAATATTTCATCCCCAGCAACCCGGGGCAAGGGGTGCAACTGGAGGTTGGAAGCATATTTTTTGAATTATTTTGAAATATCTCGAAATCTGCTCGTTTCTACAGATTTATATTTGAACCACAGTTAACTTAGGTACTAATTCAATTTTAAAAAAATATTTCATCCCCAGCAACCCGGGACAAGGGGTGCTACTGAGGGTTGGAAGCATATTTTTTGAAATATCTCAAAATCTGCTCGTTTCTACAGATTTATATTTGAACCACAGTTAACTTAGGTACTTATTCAATTTTAAAAAAATATTTCATCCCCAGCAACCTGGGGCAAGGGGTGCAACTGGAGGTTGGAAGCATATTTTTTGAATTATTATGAAATATCTCGAAATCTGCTCGTTTCTACAGATTTATATTTGAACCACAATTAACTTAGGTACTAATTAAATTTTAAAAAA